GGGATGGGGAATACATGTAAATCCATGGCTAATTCATTTCAATGTATGACAAAAACTACTGTAATGATGTAAAGTAATTAGCCTCCAACTAATAAAAATAAATGGAAAAAAAAATAAAAATAAAAAACTAGTAAACTACTAGTTTAACAGTAACTCAAATAACAAAGATCGAGGTACTTTTTACAAGTGGACTAAAAGTAACTCAGCACTACAGCTTGGCTCAGAAAAATATTACAACCATGTCAAGTAGACCATGTTAGAACTAGAGGCTTAAGATCATGGTGGCAAAGTCATAAAAAGTTCAACACCAATAATCATATTTCTGAGATAAATTAGGCTTACAACGTTAAAAGCAACGTTGCAAAACAGGAGATTACCCAAAGCGGTTTACCAGGAGGGTGAAAGATAAAGAGACTGTATGACCTGAGGACAGGCCAAAGGAATTATTAATACAAATGCACAGTCTGGAAGACAGAAGACTTAGAGAGGGCATGATGGCTACTTCCAAGGGTTCTCCTTGCAAGGGGGGACAGGACTTAAGTTTCATCATGTCAGAGGAAGGCATTAGAAGCAATAGTGGGTTGATACTGCAGGTAGATTTGCTTTTAAGAAAGCAACTGTCTAACCAATAGAGCAATCAAAAAGCCAAGAGAGGCTTCCCCGGTGGTTCAGTGGTTAAGAAACCAATTAGCAACACAGGCAATACGAGTTCCATCCCTGGTTGGGGAAGATCCCACATGCCACAGAGCAACTAAGTCCCTCTGCCACAACAGTTGAGCCCACGCACTGCAGCTACTGAAGTCCATGTGCCTGGAGCCCGTGCTCTGCAATAAGAGAAGTCACTGCAATGAGAAGCTCGCACATCGCAAAGAAGAGTAAAGTAACCCCTGCCTGCTGCAACTAGAGAAAGCCTGTGTGCAGCCACCACAACAAAAAAATAAACAAAAGATAAACGAAAAACAAAGCCAAATAAGTTATCACATAAGAGAATGAAATTCACTTTCCCTGAGATGAAGTAAAGATGGAGTTGCAATCACAAAGAACATTCTAGAACAGTATTTTTCAGAATTGTAGCAGTACACACACATCATTGGTTGTACAAGACATGATTTTAACTGGTACCTACATTTAATCTTATTATGTATTCATTTTACCATACATGAAATAAATGTACATACTAAGTTAGCCATCAGTTCCATGGTTTCACAAATACATGCTGTTTTAGGATAAGTGAAATAACAACGTAAAGTTCATTTAAAGGAAAACATTAAATCAGTATCTCCGATTTAACATAACTGGATATATTACTTTATGATTTGTTAGATACAACCCTAGAATTTATATAGATAGGCAATACAAGGCCCAAAGAAAATTTTTGAGTGGAAAAATAATTTTAAAAAAGAAAGAAAAAACATTCAGTTAACTATAAGTAATACATGGAAATGGTAAAAATTATGAAGGTACCACAAAAATGACTGAATTCTGGACACGCTGCTTTGTGAGGATTCTTGCACTGAACATCCTAAAACTAAAGTTCCTCCTTTATCAAAGCTGTCTTAGTGTTCAGTGGTTCTATCAAAATACAATCATTCATAACTACATCTACTTGAAGATCCTCCTTCACAATAAAATGGAAGAACTGAAATCTATTATTTTCATCACAATCTCAGAAATTATGATTTTTTAAAAGCTAGAGCAATAAAAATGATGTTCAGAATCTTCACATAACTACTCTGTTATTACAAAAAACTAACACTCTTGCATGTAATAAGCCTTTACTGAAGCCAGGAACTGTGGTGGACACAAATTTGAAAGTAAATTTGCAAGTATTCATTTGAAGGACCTACTGAGAAAATTTTTAAAACACACCCAAGGAGAAAACTTTTACTACCATGTTCAGTAAAAGTATATATGCATTTTAATATGACTGAAGACCAAACTACTTTCTATGCTACCCATACACACAGACAATATCTAGTATTGAGATTTAGTAACGAGATTTAGTTTTTAAACTTATTCGGTAAGCTCTGCTTTATATTCAGGATTTCATGCTCATGCTTAAATATATTCTGAAAATCCTTGGTGAAGCCCTAAAGGCAAGTCTTACAATGTCTGGGTGAAAAGTCTGCCTACTTCTATCTTAAGGCAGTGTATGGAGGCATAGCCTTTCTAAAGCCTAAAGACAGTAATGGACCTCTGGAGGAAACAGTGCCACAGTAAACTTCCTACCAGAGGCGTTTTTACTGACTAATGAGAAGCCTGACCTTTTCTTCTTTTCCAGCTCCTTAGGCCAAGAGGTACTTGATGGCTGGATAATGAGATAACCAGTGACAACTAACGTGTATAAGAAACACTAAAACTTAAACTTCTTGTCCCCTGAAGACATTTCCCCATGTGTCCACCCCCAAATGGATTTCAACCAAAGAAAAATAATCAGCCCAGAAAGACGTCCTTCCTACCTCCTGACTGTGCTCCTTGAAGACCTGCAGCGGGCCCGTGGCCCTGGCGGTATCCCAGAGCTGCAAGGAGCCGTCGCCACTACAGGTGATCAGCACATGCTCATTGTTCTCACTCCAGGTCACATCAAACAAACCGTCATTCCAGTCAAAGCTACACCAGGAAAAGTAAGACCCAAACATCTAGTGACATAGGCAGCTGAACATACAATAACAATCTTTTTTGTTTTTTCCAGTTGATCACATATTTTAACACAGTATCTCACAATGTCTTCACAAATATGGGAGATTCGTGGAGGAGGCACTTGATAGGTGCCGAAACAAGGGCAGAGAACCTTAAAAGAACAGCCCAGTCACGAGGCCAGAGAACGGCACAGCAAATTAACATCAGGGCTTCCAACTAGAAATATGGCAGTGTTTACGTGAGAACACGCTGCCACACTTGGGAGCTCGCTGTGTTCTGTGGTTCAAAGGAGGGATCAGCAAGCACTTGAAAATATCACTTTAGATCAATAATTTCAGTGTTTCCCATAAATCTTTCACCTGAGGTATCAGCAGGTAGTTATTTTCTGAGGAAATTTCCTTTCCTTTCTCCCCCCTTGACTAACTCTGAGGGAGGTGTTAATGAGTCTAACAGTCACATAGGTAAGAAAAGTACAGAATGAAGAAAGGGAAAGAGGTAATAATTAGTTCCTGAATGAGTAAAGCTAACCTACACTAAGACACAAAGGTGACTTTGTGGTCCAGTGGTTAAGAATCCACCTTGCAATGCAGAGGATGCAGGTCTGGGAACTAAGATCCCACATGCCCTGGGCAACTAAGGCCACACGCCACAGCAAAAGATTCCGCGTGACCCAACAAATATCCTGTGTGCCACAACTAAGACTCATGCAGCCAAATAAATATATATAAAAAAAAAAGACAGCAAAGATAGGAATGTCAAACAGGATACCAACTAGCTCACATTTTTGTATGTCTAAGTTTTATCATTGATAAGTGAATACTGAACAAGAGATTTAGAAGTGACATAATCACAAGTTAATGGCAAAAATCAGTTCTGCACTATGCAAATCCTGAAAGCTCTTTTATATTGCAAATTAAAACATCTTACTGATCACAAAGATTCAAAACCAAAAGCAACAGAAAATACATCTAATTTTAATAGAACCATCTTACCTTCTAAAAAGCCTAAGCCCAGATTCATTTTGATCCAATATTAGCAGAGTTCCACTGCCTAAAGGAGAAAAAAAGTTGAGGTCAATGCAAAGGGGTATCAAGAACCGAGAACAATACTAGTCACAAATTTCTCCCTAAAGTTTCTTGAGACCACATAAACAAAATGATCAGGACTGTGCTCTCCATTTCTCTCTACACTGTACTTCAATAATTAAATATTAAATTTACTATCTCACCAATGCCTGGATTCCAGACACAGCTCAACAGGGGAGAGAGATTTAAGTGCATCCTCTATGGCCAGGATGACATGCACACAAACCTCCCAAACATGTGTGATCATTCCTATTCACAGGTGAGAAAACTCAGGCTTATAGACACCAGGGACTGCACCTTCTACTATAATACATCACACTGCCTCCACAAAAAAACCTAAAATACATTGTGTGTGACTTTAAAACAAATACCTGGTGGATTTTACCACATACTTGGCAGTAAAGTGCTGAACACAATATACCATTACCTACCAAAGAGGAATTATTTTACTGAAGGATCAGTGTATTTTAAAAAGATATTTTTTACACGGTTGGAAGAAAAAAAAAAAAAAGCTCTATTTATACACGATTGACTTAAAAAAAAATCAACTGCTTTTGGAGAGATTTTTAAGGATTTAATTTAAAATATTACAAACTCACGAGTCTTCAATCTTAAAGGTGGGCAAGGATTGTAAATCTGAATTTGCAACCACTAAAAGTTAATAGTGAAAACATAAAAAGCAAATATTTCTCTTTCTGAGCTGCAGAAATCACTTTTCCAACTTTGATTCTACCAAAAAAAAAAAAAAAAACTATCGCGATCTGATATTATGCAATGAACTGTTTCATAGAATTAGTGTGTAAACAATAGCTAGGAAATGAATTAAAAGAAAGTCCAAAATCAAGAAAGGAATCCTTCCTTTCAACCAGAGACAATTAACTTGAGCCTCTAACTGCCTGTATATGTCTGTATTCCTCTCAAGACAACAAAGGACTCAGCGCTTGATGAATTTCTTGCTGGTTCTTGCGGGGAAACTCCTAGAGTCTGTTCATTGGAAGGACTGATGCTGAAGCTGAAGCTCCAATACTGTGGCCACCTGATGCGAAGAACTGACTCCTTGGAAAAGACCCTGATGCTGGGAAAGATTGAAGGCAGGAGGAGAAGGGGACGACAGAGAATGAGATAGTTGGATGGCATCACCGACTGGACGGACATGAGTTTGAGCAAGCTCCTGGAGCTGGGGATGGAGAGGGAGGCCTGGCGTGCGGCAGTCCATGGGGTTCGCAAAAAGTAGGACACAACTGAGCGACTGAACTGAACTGAACAGGGTGCATCCTTAGGACGCACAGCCTGTGGTGAATGTGGTCCGATTAGCCGGTACTGGGTGATCCTGCAGACCGTCTTCCAAGCGCTGTGGGTCTGGTCGGGCCGGCAGGAGGAGCCACACGGGTTCAGCCAGCTCTCCGCAGAGCCACTTGTACCCGGCGGGGCGTGTGTCATGCGGGCGAAGGAACTGGTGCGCTTTTTAAGAGGAAGGACTACGGGCATTAGGCACCTTCCACATCCTGCTTCCGCACAGTAAGTGGAGAGGTGTGGCACTCTAGGCCAACTCCGCACACTGGACAAAAGCGGTCAGGAAGCCAGCCAACTCCTTAGCTACCCCTGGCGTTCTTTCGCGGCTCCTTCTACAGTCGGAAGTGATTTCCGACCACGGGGAGGAGCCGGAGCTTGGCTGGAACCCGCCCTCGCCCCGGAGGCTCGCCGCCACCCGGCCTCACCCGCGATGCCGTAGTGCTGCGAGGCGGCGCAGGCCAGTCGGCCCGGCAGGTACGGGGAGAACTCGGCGGCGTAGCCGTGGTGGCCGGGCACCCGCAGCGTCCGTACCCCTCCGCCAGGCGTCGCGCTCATCCCGCCCGCTGCCTCCGGCCCTCGCCGCTTTGGCCGCCGAAGCCGCTCCGAATGGGAGGCGGACCGTCCGGACTCGCTACGGGAGTTAGACTCTAGCAGCCAAGGCGGAAGTGAGGACACGGGTGCCCTGAATGCTAGATTTCGATTGGTCCCCAAGGGAAAGGGAATTGACTCTGATGGAGGCCATACTTGTTTTGGGCAAAACAAACGCATGACGCCGGCTGTAATGAATTAAACCTGAAGGTAATTTTTCAAGGATTAAGTGGTGATTCTGACACCTTTTGTTTTTACATCTCAGCCTCCACCGCGGGCTATCTGGCTCTTATTAGTTCGTTGATCTTTTGAAAAACTGGCATCAGGGAATGTGGTTGATGATTACAAAATGAGACAAGTTACAGCAAAGTCTGAAACCATGCCGCGAGTCCGAAAGGCTACTGAGTGATTTGTTCCTCAAGGAAACTTAAGGCATAGTTAAATCCACGGGCGTGAAGCTCAGGAAAGAGACATCATTAGCAACTAACTTAAATTTTTTTTTAAATTCTCATTATATTTATTGTATAGAATTAACTGCTCAGATGTTGGAGCTGATTAAGAAAAACTAAGGCTCATTCATCCATTCAAATATTTACCAGGCATACACCATATAGGGTTTCCCTTGTGGCTCAGCTGGTAAAGAATCCGCCTGCAATGCGGGAGACCTGGGTTCGATCCCTGGGTTGTGAAGATCCTCTGGAGAAAGGAAAGGTTACCCACTCCAGTATTCTGGCCTGGAGAATCCCCATGGACAAAGGAGCCTGGTGGGGTCGCAAAGAGTCAGACATGACTGAGCGACTGTCATTTCACATACCAATATAGTGTGCTAAGTCGCTTCAGTCATATCTGACTCTGCGACACTGTGGACTTTTGCCCACCAGGCTCTTCTGTCCATGGGATTCTCCAGTCAAGAATACTGGAGTGGGTTGCCATACCCTTCTGCAGGGGATCTTTCCGGGCCCAGGGATCGAACCTGTGGCTCCTGAATTGCAGGCAAATTCTTTACCGCTGAGCCACCGGGGAAGATCTATACCATATAGAGAGTGGCCATATAGTACTTATCTGCCAATAAGCCCCTTTTGAGAGTGGAAGAGAGTGCAGTTAATAATTAAGCCAGGTCAACAAGTACAAACCTAGTCATATGGCCACTTTAAAATACACACCAAGTGCAATGCTAGGCACTGGGGATTCCAAAGCAAGAAGATACAGTCCCATGTCATTAGTTAAGTGTAACCAAAATACTGTATGTGCTATGAGAAATATATAGGGGCTTTTTTTTTTTATAAAACTAATTGTCAGTGTTGGAGGATGGGGGACAGGAGGAAAAGCTTCAGAAAGCAAGTAATATTTGTGTAAATAATGATAAGCGCTAAGTTGCTTCAGTCGTGCCCAACTCTGTGACACCATGGACTGTAGCCTGCCAGGTTCCGCTCTTCATGGGATTCTCCAGGCAAGAATATTGGAGTGGGTTGTCATTTCCTCCTCCAGGGGATCTTCCCGCCCCAGGAATCCAACCCGAGTCTCTTACATCTCCAGCATTCGCAGGCGGGTTGATGATAAGGTTTCCTTTAAATGGACAAGGAGATGGAGGTCATTACAGGAGCAGGAACAACAAGAGACCTAAAATAGCATGATCTATAGGAGACTATAGCTGCCATGAATCAGCCTGGCCTCGTGGAAGGGGTATAGTGAAGAGTATTGGGTGAGAGACTAGTGCTGTGGCATGAAGACTCTTGTGTGTCATACCAAGGGAATTTGACTAATATTGTAATTTAAACAATGGGTAACCATCATTTCTTAAGCGAGAAATTAAATGACCAAGTTTCATTTTATAAGATCTTCTGGCAGCACAAAACTGGAGGACAGTGATTGGGGATAGGAAGGCCAGTTAAAAGACTTTAGCAATAGTTCCAGCAAAAGATAAGAATGTAAACAAAGATTATGCTAATGGGAGAGAGTTACATTCTACAATATTGTGAGATTTACTCCTAGGAGGGCAGCCAGGTTCTCATAGTAAATATCAGAAGGAAAAAACAAAACAAAACATCTTCTGCAGAAGGAGAAGAAAAGGAACCATTTTGAAATACGCCTTAATAAGACCTGCTCTGAGGGAAAACTAGTTACCTAGAGTCTAACCTACTAGGGTATTTTCCAAGCCTAGCTAACCTGAAAGTTCTCTTGTGCCTCTTTTCATTCAAAGCTACCCCTACCTCTAATCAACCACTGACCTGGTTTTCCTGTTAAGAACTGCCTGATATTCCAATGCTAGAAATGTATTACCAGTGAGTTTTTTAATTGATTATTTAAAGATTCCTCTTTTAAACACAAGTAGGCTATAGGACAAAAATTACTGAGGTTTGATTTCAGTTCGCCCTTTAGTTTTCAGTAATAAACTTTGCCTAGATTCTTGTTTCTTCCTATGTAAAATGGAAAAGTTTCAACCGAATCAATCATTTCTACCTAAATGGTCTTGAAAACTATAACAGGGCTAGAGAAACTGATCTAAATATTTCAAAAACCAAACAGGAATTGTACATTTATAATTCAGCAGGAAAGGCCAGCCTGAAATTCTAATTTTCTTTGTTTTTAGGCTGGAATTATATGAATGCAGTGTGGTTACAGTCATTCTCTAATGTTGATATTAATTTCGGATTGACTGCTTATGAAATTATGATGTTTCTGGAGCTCAGGGAAGAAAAAAAATGAAAACATTTACAGGTATTTAACGAGCTTCCCAGGTGGCGCTAGTGGTGAAGAACCTGCCTGCCAATTCAGGAGACATAAGAGACATGGGTTCTATCCCTGAGTAGGGAAGATCCCCTAGAGAAGGAAATGGCAACCCGCTCCAGTATTGTTTCCTGAAAATTTTCATGGACAAAGGAGCCTGGCAGTACATAGGGTCACAAAGACTTGGACATGCCTGAAGCGACTTAGCATGCACCTGTAGGTATTAAACAGGTTGATCTCTAAGATTCTGAACAGCAAAGAGGACTGAGGTAAATAGAGTTGCTGTCCATCGTGCCCACCTTATTGGAATAATTGAAAAATATAAATGATAGTTAGATAAAAACAATTGTATCAGTTCACGTCCCAAATTTGATGACTGTTCTATGGTTATATAAGAGGATGCCCTTATTCTTAGGAAATACTTAAGTAGTAATAAGAGTTAAAGGAAATTATACATTGACATGAATCAGCCATGGATTTACATGTGTTCCCCATCCTGAAGTAATTAGCCTCCAACTAATAAAAACAAATTAAAAAAAGTTAAAGGGAATTATAAAGGAATAACTCTTCAAATGGTGCAGGGAAAAAAATGAAGCATATAGACAGGCACAATAGGGAGAAAGATAAAACAAGTGTGGTTTAAGATGTTAAAAAATTGATAATCTGGGTAAAAGATATATGGGCATTTCATGTATTTGTGATTTTTTCTATGTTTGAAATTATTACAATTAAAAGGGTTTCTTAAGGATGTGACTAAAAATTTTACTAATTCAGACTTTTCTGTGTCCAATGAGTTTAAATTAGCAAGAACTGGTTCTAATTTGTTAAGTACACCCTGGGGACCTGTGAAAAATTCCTTTACTAGTAGTGCCTACATAGTCCCAATAGGTGAATCATATGCCAGAAATGTCTGTGGTGTGACTTTTGACTGGGACTTCTGACTCCATAAATTTGAGGGCATATTTGAGAAGGACAGCAGAAGTTTCTTGCTGCTTAAGTCTAGAATGAAACGGAGCTAATGACTTGGAAATGTCAATGAGGAAATCCAGGTCAACTGTAATTCCCATCATGACTAAGTGGCATAAAGACTCAGAATATGATGACCTAGAGCTGACCTCAGGGAGAAATCACAGATTAAAATTGCTCATTTCTCGGATTCTTGGTAAGGTTGATTCAGCAACTCATAAATCTTACCATTTACAATGAACGCAAACCTAGGTAACTACATACATTTCATTCTCTCAGGCAAATATGCAGTGTATATGTTTACATATTCTTAAGATAAGATCAGGTAAAGAAACAGCTTGTGCTTGCTAGCGCTGTTGCTAAGTTATATCTGACTTTTTCGACTCCCTGGACTGTAGCCTGCCAAGCTCTTCTGTCCATGGGATTTCCAGGCGAGAATACTGGAATGGGTTGCCATGCCCTCCTCCAGAGGAATCTTCCTGATCTAGGGATCAAACCCACATCTCCTGCATCTCCTGCATTGACAGGAAAATTCTTTACCCTTTAGCCACCTGGGCTTCAGCTTTTGTACCAAATACAAAAGGAATATACAAGATCATCTTAAATGTGAATATCAGACTTTGGAAATTTAGTATCTTCATTACCTGCCTTGGATTTCTTAGTTCAGGAAAATAGCGTATTCTTCAAACGTGATCCTTTTCTTTAACTGAGGAGTAGAAACAACACTGATTTACTTCAGAACTGTTCAAAAAGCCAGGCATGCTTTCATGTGAAAGAGGAATCTTAGAGTTTTGTCTAGCATTCTTCTCATAGCCCCCAGGCTCTGTAACATTTTTTAAAGTACAGCATTATTCACAGTAAAAAAAAAAAAAAAGAAGAAGATGAATTCTCTACATTGTGAATCAATTCATTGCAAATAATGCTGAATACAAATTTTAGCACAGATGTTGACAGTATGTTTTTAAGCAAATAATTTCTCTCTTTGAGTCTCAGTTTCTTCATAAAATAGAACTTCTTGAGAAGGGCAAGCAGAGCAATGAGGGATCTGGAAGCCATGTGACTTAGAGATTTGTTAAGAGAACTGAGATACCACTACATACCTATGTGTATGTACACATAGGTGTGCTAAGTTGCTTCAGTTGTGTCTGACTCTTTGGGACCCCGTAGACTGTAACCCACCAGGCTCCTCTGTCTGTGGAATTCTCCAGGGAAGAACACTGGAGTGGGTTGCCATTTCCTTCTCCAGGGGATCTTCCTGACTCAGGGATCGAACCCGCATCTCTTGCATTTCCTGCATTGGCAGGCAGGTTCTTTACCACCGGTGTCGCCTGGGAAGCGCCTACATACCTATAAGAATGATCAAAGTGTTTAATTCTGACAAC